CATCAGGCTGTGATTTCAGTTTGCATTTCCTGTAACACAGGTTTTCTGGTAGTGCCCCACACTGAAGTTACTACCGTGGCCACTGGTAACGCATCACGTGTCTGTGTTGAAATACACAGCACAAAAGGCTTTGTGGAAGGACTCTTGTTGCAGGATGAAGCTTCCCAGAACCACCTAAATTCGATCTTCACAAGAAACCTGAGCTCTGCAGCTTTCCATAGGTGTGTCACACACCCAGTCTGTTCTCTGTGATTCTTCTGGGTAGGAATCTCCCTGGAAGTGTTCAAGACCAGGCTGGATGTAGGTTGGAGCAACCTGGGCTGGTGGGAGGTGTCCCTGCCCAGGGTAGGGGGTGGCACTGGATGGGCTTTGAGGTCCCTTCCAAATCTAACCATTCTGTGATACTTTGAGGAACTGGTTTCTTACCAAGGAAGTGGTAGGAAGTGATAACGCTCTTGAAGGCAGATGTGGTTCCAGAACTAGTTTGGGAAACAACACTTGAACTATGATTTCTCTCTATATAGGTGTTTTTGTTGTTTCCTACCTGTATTATAGCAAGAGTAGATCCACATGTTTCAAATTATATAGATGGCTTGTGCTTCACGTGCCTTGGGATGTCCAATCTGGTGTGGACATGGTTGCAGAGAGAGCACTCCCACTCCCCCCCACTCCCAGCACACTTCTCATGCAGGCAGATCTCAAGGTCTCTTCATCACCTACGTTAGATCTCGGGCAGAACTTGTTTGGTGTGAGGGTGGTGAGAGCCTGGCCCAGGTTGCCCAGAGAAGCTGTGGCTGCCCCATCCCTGGAGGGGTTCAGGGGCAGGCTGGATGGGGCTTGGAGCAACCTGGTGTGGTGGGAGGTGTCCCTGCCCAGGGCAGGGGGTGGCACTGGGTGGGCTTTAAGGTCCCTTCCAACCCAAACCATTCTGTGATTGTATGAATAGCACGGCCTTGGACCGAGGAGATATCCTTGGGGTTCTGACTTGTTGGGGCAGAGTGTCTGGAGCTGCTTGAATGTTCTTGCAGGTAGGGAGGCCACTCTGCATTTTACAGAACTTAAATTTATTAACACGTGAGTGGCTTTTCACCAGCAAAACTGACTCAGAGAGTCTCCTGTGCCCAGACTCTAAAGCCAGACTCTGAATCATGAGCTGCTCTTCTTTAATAGCTCTTAATATAGCAAAAGATGTGGTTTCAACCAAAATTTTTCTGGGGGGGGAAAATACCTCTCCCATCATGACTTGCTCTATTAAGAATCAGAAGAAGCGTTGCCAGCAGGTCCAGAGAGGTGATTCTGCCACTTTGCTCTGCTCTGGTGAGACCTCACCTGGAGTATTGTGTGCAGGTCTGGAGCCTTCAATATAAGAAGGACATGGACCTGATGGAGCGGGTCCAGAGGAGGGCCACAAGGATGATCAGGGGGATGGAGCACCTCTGCTACGAGGACAGGCTGAGGGAGCTGGGGTTGTTCAGCCTGAAGAAGAGGAGGCTCCGGGGAGACCTAATAGCAGCCTTCCAGTACCTGAATGGGGCCTACAGGAAGGCTGGGGAGAACCTGTTTAGAAAGGCCTGCAGTGACAGGATGAGGGGCAATGGCTTCAAGCTGGAGGGGAACAGATTTAGACTGGAGATGAGGAGAGGGTTCTTCACTGTGGGGGTGGTGGAGCACTGGAACAGGTTGCCCAGGGAGGTGGTTGAGGCCCCTTCCCTGGAGATATTCAAGGAGAGGCTCGACGAGGCCCTGGGCAACCTGGTCCAGTTGGGGGTGTCCCTGCTGACTGCGGGGAGGTTGGACTAGATGACCTTTGGAGGTCCCTTCTGGCCTGGGAAATTCTATGATTCTATGATATGAATGATTTTGCTCTGCATTTGGTGCATGGTGAAGTTTCTCCTCCAGCACAAGAAGCTGAGTTCAAAAGGTTTACCTCCTGCAGGTCTAGGTTTGAGGAGGCCATGAAGAACGGAGAGGGTGCCACTTGGCCCTGCAGGTCTTGCGTCTCCCCTGGGGGATGTTAGTGTTGTGAAATGGGTCCCTCTGCTCATCCGAAAGGGCTTCCCACCCTCTGCAGAGCTGCGGGGTGAGAGCGTGGTGCCCGTGTGCCCGCGGTACAATTTCCCCAAAAGGCGTCACCGTTTGGCGTCCCCTGGTTCTCATGGGAAAGGCGCCGATGCCCCGGCGAGTAGGAAATGTCTCAGCAACCCCGTGCATTGAAGGGGACGTGTCAATTGTTTCCTTCCGGGCCCTTTGGGAAGGGAGCCCAGAAGTTTATCTCGGCCTTTGCAGCCATACAAAGAGATGCCAAGCACTTCGAGTACACAGGGGAGGAAAACGTCGCATTAAGTAAGGCAGAATAGGCAAAAGCAAGCTAAGTAATGCAGATGTTCGCCTGCGTGTATATACAATTTAGTTTCATATTACCCAAAATCTGTGCCGTGCACACGTGGTCAAAAGATTAAAGAGATTGTCCAGTTCTGTTGGCAGCATATTAAAGTATTAGGACTACAGGCTTACTATGATGTGCTTCTACTATCGAGCTGACCACAGAATTGAAGGGATTCAGAGGAGGAGGCTGCTTTCATACACATACTGAAGTGGCCCAGTCCTTTCTCATCTGGCTTTTGGGTGGGATCTCAGCTGTGAGAACCTTGGGAAGGGCCACCACTGCCCTCCCTGTCCCCGGGGCACCCTCAGCTCCTGCCTGGCTCAGCTGAGATTTCCCCATCTCCATCCCTGTGCAGGGTTTGTGCCATCTGCTGTGTTAAAGCTGATATTTCCAGTTGCTGGGGTAGCTCTCCCAGTTTCCCTTGGCACTCTGGAGCTAAATCTTATCTCCAGGTGTTGGTCTGTAGGGATGGAAATACCCATGTAGCCTGAACTTTTAATATCCCATCCCAGATAACACTGGCTAAAAAGTAACTGGAGCTTCACCCAGAGAGATTTTCACTAAGGCTTTATAGCTGTTAGTTTATATCTCCATATCACGGGCACTATATATCTTTATATCTGTTTTATCTATTTATTATGGTCTTCCGCATCGTTATCGCTCGTACATAACCTTGAGCTTGTTGTAGCTCAGTGGCCACCAGAAGGATGATGTGACCCATGTCAGGGTCACCACAGGTGGGAGCAGGAAGGGAATTTCTTTAGAAACCTCTGCTTTTTACTACAATTTCCACATAATGAATTACTTTGGAGCCAAAATGTATCACACTTAATGCTAGTCTGGGGATTAATATATTTTTTTTCAAGTGATTGTATGGGAGAACAATTTTTTTTTTCTATTTTCATGTTGTTGGTCTCTGAGAATTAAGAATGTGGTATTTAAGAAGCCTTTTCCAGATGGTTTTTTTTATACTTAAGTAACTCAACAACAGCAGTGGGAGGTGTCCCTGTCCAGGGCAGGGGGGTTGGAACTCGATGATCTTTTGAGGTCCCTTCCAACCCAAACCATTCTATGATTCTATGTCTTTAAAGTGTCTGATTTGTGTTTGGTGTTCAAAGGAGCTGCTGGGAGTGATGTGCGCTGGGCACGAGCTGTTTTCCTGAGCTCCTGGCCCCATCCTGGCATACAGCTCTTCGCTCCCTTATTCCCAAAGCCCTTGGGGAATTCAGTTGGCTATTTTAAATCTATTTATTGCTGTCGAGGAGGGTTGCTCTGGTCAAGCAGCTTTCTAGAAGACGCTGGGTGGTTTTGGTATGAAAATTCACATGCAAAGAAGGTGGAGGACTCTCCAGGCTTCCCAGCTGGCTCAGGAGCGTGGGGGATTGGAGATGGCAATTTTCTCCCTAATTTTCTTTCTTGGATTTTCTCACCCATGTGACGCTTTTATCAAGTGACGCCTGATTTTATTTTATTTTTTTTGTTACTCGTTTACTTTAATTCATATTCCTGAGCAGAAGGGAGTGGGGCTGCTGCAGGAGAGAGGTGTAAACGTCTGTACCCCCAGAGAAATCCAGGGGTTCTTACCTGTGTGTGCGGCTCGTTGGTGAGATCAATGTGCATCCCTCAGTGACAGGGCACGTGTGTCTTATCTCTGCTTGGCTACACCAGCGGGGGAACCAAATTTGGTCAAAAGCCCAGAATACAGCTATCATTTATCAAGAGTGAAATCTGAAGGAGCTGTTTTTGAAGCTTCCAGTAGGATGTCTGCATTGTCTGGGCACAGGAGAAGAGATGTGAAAGCTTTCTGTAAGCACAAGGGATGAGATTTATCCCAAGTTGGCCCAAGTGCAGAAAGCCCTGAAAAGAAACCCTTACTATCAAGCTCATCAAAAAGACAGGACAACTGGCAAATGTATTTTGTTTAAGTGCTTCAGTCTGAAATGAGAAGTCTGTGTGAAAGGCAAAAGGCACACTTTGTGTTTAGCATAGGAGATTTGGCGCTTATTCATTTATTACTTAATTTTTATTTTGGGAAGTGTCAAGAACTTAGAATCTTGCAGTAAGTTCTGTTAATTACTCCTGCCTGGTCAGCTGTGTTACAATAAAACCCTAACGGTACCTCTGCTTCTCATTACACAATGGGCTGCACAGCCAAGTGATGTACATTTTATTGCTCTAAGCTCTTTGGTTAAGCTGGATCAGTTTGCACAAGGCAGGTGTTAATCCAGCCCATGTAATTTGGTAAAACAAAGGGGAAAAAGTAACGTAGAATGTATTCGAGGAGCCCTGTAGGCTGTATTCTGTCCTGCAAAATTAGCACGGTGGCCTTCTGTGGTTTTTATTTTTTTATTTTTAAATGAGTCATAAGGACAGGGTGATTATCAGAGAGGCTGCACGCTGAGAAATGGATTGTACAAAAAACTGCTTTTCCTAGTGGTAGCTAATGTTTGGAGACAAGAAAATAGTACTTAATTAATGTTAGGCCAGCAAAGAAAGGTGCTTCTCTTGCCTGTGTGAATGAAATGCAGCGTGAACAGTACTGGCCAGTGAGGCACAAACTATACACAGTCAAAATTAATCTAAAATTAATCTTTGCTGTGCTTGTGTCCCCTAGGTCACCACACCATTTACATTGGGGTCCACGTGCCGAAGAGCTACAGGAGGAGGAGGCGCCACAGAAGAAGACCTGGGCACAAAGAAAAGAAAGAAAAGGAGAAAATCTCCGAGAACTACTCGGACAAATCAGACGTAGAGAACGCCGACGAGACGAGCAGCAGCATCCTTAAGCCGCTCAGTAAGTCCTGGTTTTGGTTGTCACTGGCTACAATGGCCCATTGTCTTGAGATCTGCTCCTCATCTGGTCGTGGAGGGGGAAACCAGATCCAGGAAAACAGTCGTTCTCCTGTTGCAGGGTCAGAGTAGCCTCAACCAGTCGCTGTTGAGCAGCTGCTGTGGTTTGGAGGAGACATTTCATCTCTCTCTTATCACCTGAGTTTGCTCCTGAGCTGAAGCCAGCCAGGATGGGCCAAATTTTATAAAGCAATTTGACACTGTGTGTAAAGAGATAGCGAGGAAACGCAAAGACGGAGTAGGTGCCCAGAGGGATCTATTGCAGCTTTGGCCCTGGCTCTCAGGACGTGTGTCCTCTCTACAATCCCAGCACCCTGTGGTTTCAGCTCCTCAGAGGAGCAGGTTGGTGAGAAGCACCAAGAGCACTGCTGTAGACTGTGAGAAATAAACCTGCTTGGGATTTGCCTTCCGTCAATAACTTGTGGTGTTAATGAGTCTTTTCCCTTCGGTAACTAACCATTGCTGTAGACTGTGAGAAATATACCTGCTTGGGATTTGCCTTCCTTCTGTCAATAACTTGTGGTGCTAATGAGTCTTTTCCCTTCGGTAACTAACCAGTTTTAAGTTTTGCAAACAAAGAGTAGAATAAAACGTAGCATCACTGTATGCTTGAGTATCTGTAGGGGGTGAATTTCTGAATTTTGATAGAGATGGGGTCTGTTTTGGATGCTCTCTACCTCTGTTCATACTGAAATGGTTACCCAGAGGAGAGAGATCTTTATCGAGTGTCATCACTTTGGTACCATCGTAGGTGACTGTCAAGAAGTCCCATCCCTCTTGCTGTCTTCTCTGTTGGCCACAAGCTTGTTCTGCCATCCAGGAGATGGCTGCTTAAATAGAAATGGGAAAGAGATGGTGACAGCCAGCTAAAAAGGGAACACGCCAACAAGGTTTGAATACAGGAGAACAGCCCGGTGTGGGATACGGCTCCGATCATTGAAGATGATTCCAGATGGTTGGAGTTTCATCAAAGAACCTATTTGTGAGTGAGCAAAATGTTTCTGGTGCAAGAGAGAGAGAGAGGAGCAAGCAAGGGCTGCACAGCCTGATCTTTGATTGAAGAAATTATTTGTGAGGGAGCAAAATGTTTCTGGTGCAAGAAAGAGAGAGGAGCAAGCAAAGGCTGCACAGCCTGATCTTTGATTGAAGAAATATGTGCATTTTTCATTTGGAAATGCTGTTGCTGGATAGTTGCTGCATGTAAAGACAGTGAGGTGGGATCAGATGGGTCACGTCGGGTGGTGCAGATACTGCAGAGAGCAGCCACTAGGAAGGAAGGCGAGTCACAAAGTCCCTTTGCTTTTTGGAGCTGTAGTTCCCTGGTTTTCCCAAGGAACTTCTCTTGTCAGCTCAGAAACCAGGAGTTGGTTTTACACCAGAAGACATAATTACCTGTCTTCAAGAACTCTAGGTATTTGAAGTTTAATTTTTATATTTATACCTCTGTACTTCTTTGGTGTGCCAGTGACCAGATCTGTAGAAATTCCCTTTTGAATTAGAATCACAGAATTGTCCAGGTTGGGAGGGACCTTTTAGATCATCGAGTCGAACCATGAACCCAACGCTGACAAAACCCATCACTAACCCATGTCCCTCAGCACTATGTCTACCCAACTGGCTTCTGGATCTATCGCTGTCCTAGGGGAAGCATTTCCATGGGAAAACAACTGGCTTCTGGATGTATCACTGTCCTAGGGGAAGCATTTCCATGGGAAAATTGTGCCCATGGTTGAAATCCCATTTCTTCCACCAGGTTTTGATTTTTTTGCCTTTTTTTTTTCCCCCCCTCGTTTCTGGTTTGTATCATTTGAGAAAGGTTTAATGGTATTTTTTCCTCTATTGTTTTTACAGTTTAGTATATTCTTGTCTACACTTTATCTGCCTGTAAAAATGTGCAGTATTTCATCTCTCTCTCTCTCTCTCTGAGATTTTCCCCATAATCTTTTCCGCCCTGACTTCTTTGCGCCACGTATTTTTGGAGTGGGATCACTCAAATACCACACAGCAGTCCTGGTGCCCCGTGTGATAGCATTAATTCTGCACCATTTCTGACTTTCTCTGTATTGTTCTCCATCTCACGTACCCAGACACTCGACCAGGTTCTTGCAGGGACTTGCTCTTTTGCACGGGGGGGCAGATCTTTTTACGAGCTGGCGCGGTTAATTTAGAACACTGTAAAGGATAGGAGTAGTTCAGATTACTGCCTTGAGTTTCCAAACATTGAATTACATGTTGCCTTATATCCCCAGGGTTTTTTTCCCCTTCTGAAACCCTTGTCATCATCACTTACTTGAATTATTTGTTTCCTACACTTTTTTGCTTGGTATCAACCTTTTCTTCTCCAGTTCCACGTAGGTGGTAACGCCAGCTTTCCTTCAGAAACTTCTGCTGTTCTGCTTTTGACCTTCTCCATCATTTATAAACGGCTCTTTATTTCCATTTTGGTTTGTGTCTCTTAGGAGGCTGTTGATCTGAGGCAGTCATTGGATGTTCAGACCATGCCAGCTCTAGATGTCACTTTGATGAAGGCTTTTTGAGGGCCTGAATGGTTTATGTGCACCTCATACCCAGCTGCTGTGTTCCCTCTTGGGTATGGCAAGTGTGTCCAAGAGAAGACTAGTTCTCTTCAGCCAAAGAAAAGTGTTCCTCACCAGCTTGGCCTGGTAGTCATTACTGGCCATTGTGGCAAGAAATCTCACTTATAACCCTGTTTTTTTTTAATTTTCATCATTGAAGAATCTTCAGTTCTTCAGTTTTTAAATCATTGTGTTAATTGTAAATGAGTTGTGAAGGGCTTTGTGCTGGAGCAGGGCTGGCAGCGGAGAAGTGGTGGCACCTTCGTGGCTGGGAAGTTTTGGATTTTGCTTTTCTTCTTTGAAGGGGGGAAAAAATAGCAGAAACTGAGCAAGGTGTGAGATGCAGAGCGTGCACACAACCATTGAGTGAGGGTTGGGCTAATGTGCCCGAGGTCATTTTAGAGGGATGGGTGATTACAAAGGGGCTCTGCAGGTTGTGGGACATGTGTGGGTACATGGTGTTTCTGTGTCATCAGAAGAGGAGAGGAAAAAGAAGAAGGAAAGAGGAAATCTTGAGCCCGCTGTCCCCTCATATGCAGCTCAACACCTATTTCATGGGGGGACCCAAGAAGAGAAGATCAAGGGTGTTGCCATTCCCAAGATGAAGGACCAGCTCTGTTAACGACCTTTGCATAACACCAGCTCTCTTCATGACCTTTGCATAACGAGGGACTGTGCTCACCACTAAAACCAGGGATCGGATTCACGGAGGCTTCAGGTGTCCATCAGCGACCCGGGCTGGATGAACATCGTGCTGTGAATACGAAGCGTGGGACACGGCCTTCAGAAGGGCTGCAGAGGAGGAGGAGGAGACGGGTGTGTGCAAGATTAATGAGATAATAAAATGAAAGTGCTGTTTGTGTAGTTAATGCTGAGCTGAAGGGACCGAACCGGCTGACGTTGCCCTCTTTTTCCCTAGAACAGGAAGGTTTTTGGATTCATATATTCCGTTTCATTAACCATGTTTTAAAACAAGCAAAGCCCGATTTTACATGAAGAAAACCCAGAGGTCGCTGAGGAAGCGCACGAATGTATCTCAGTCTATAAAATGGAGAGTTTACAGAGCTCCTTCTCTCTGTTGATTTTTGCAGTTATTAACTTGGCCAAGTATTAGACACTGTCAGTCCAGCTGGTATATAATTCGTAGTTTATTTCATCTTCAAATAAAAAGACGAGCATATCAAGTTTGTTTTGCAAACTCTGTAATAACATCGTTGTTAAAATACTTGCTGGAAGTTTAGGAAACGACTTGATTGTCTCCATTATACTGAGAGCTTTGTTTTGACTGAGTGGGAAGCTTTGATTCGATGCATCACTTCTGTTTCTTCATCTGTCCCTAAGAACTGTGAAGCCTAAATGTGGATATCTTACCTGAAGATGATTTCTCAGCTTCTTTGGTGGAAAATCAGATTTTGACCACATCTGGATTTGACTCAGCAGGTCAAGCTGCTCGTCCCACAACACACGAACCTGATGGGACACGTCTGTGGATACGGGGCAGGAGAGTAAACAGGTCCAGAAATGCAAACCTTCCCTATAAACATTCTGTTCCAGTTAAAAACCGGTCTGGCTGCGCTTCTGTAGTGGGGAATTGGTGCAGTCTGGAAATATCAATCCTTTTTAAAAAAAAATCTGTGTCCAGTTCAATCAAATAAGCCAAACTCTGGTAGTTTATAAACAACCTTCAGCTCTCCCATCTGCAGAGAGTTCGGGATGTTGATCGTGTACAGAGATGTTTTATCCTCAGTGAATTATCGCTTGGGGAAGATGCCTCCATCAAAAAACCTAGAGAGGGATGTTCTCTGATGGACCAAGGAGGAGGCTTGAAGGTGACGTTCCCCCTGCAGAGCCCTTTCCGTGTATTCCAGACCACGGGGCTTTCTCACCCCCTTTTTCTCAGACAGCCTCATTTCTCAAAGCACCACTTTCACTGGTTTCCACTTCAAACCAGTAAGAAGGAAACACTTTTTAGCAGTGGTTATTCTGCGCCACCCAGGGAGCCAGCATACGAGAGTTTTTCAGGTTAAAAAAAACCAGTAAGAAGGAAACACATTTTAGCAGTGGTTATTCTGCGCCACCCAGGGAGCCAGCATACGAGAGTTTTTCAGGTTAAAAAAAATAATTAAAATATTATTGCATTACGGCATACGAGTGTTTTTCCGGTTAAAAAAAAATAATTAAAATATTATTGCATTACTAGTAAGTGAGGTTTAAATGCCCTTTTCTTATCTGCCTAAAACACATGTAAGAGTTGGAAAAGAGATGAAGATTTATACTCTCAGAGCACTGCAGAAGGGGAAGGATGGCATATTGGGAGATGATGAGTAAAATGGGGTTTTCAGAGGGAAGGTTTAGTAATTTATTTATT